CGTAGGTTGAACTCTGCCTCTGCTTGTTCTGGGACTCGAGCGCTGCACATAAACGCTTGCAGCTGCTCTTACCCTGCCACCCAGTGCAACGGGACAGAGTTTTCAAAGGAGAAACCCAAGAGGTACCAAGAGCGTGTGCACACACCCTGGGTGGAGCTCCCTCCCCAGAGGTGGAGACCACAGCTCTGATTTGGTGGGGGCACTTCAAAGGCATTCCATTCATACTCACACATCCCCTCAACCCACCCCACCCCCAACCTCTTTCTCAGTGCTGGGGATGAATCCCCAGGCCTTGCACGTGCTGGGCAAGCGCAGTACTGTTGAGCCACACCCCACACCCCTCTTGATTTTTTACTTGGTTAGCACTCTGTTGTCATGACTGCGTCATGTGATTTATGAGACAATGCCTCTGTTACACGTTTCCCCCCTTTCTCTTTAGTGGCCCCTGTGGCCCAGGTGGCTTTGCCAGGCTCCTCCTGCAACACTGACTGGTTCTACATGGACGGTGAGGCCGTCCCCAGCCTTTCGTGCCTTCCTCATCTGAGAGGTGAGATGGGTTATCTAACAGGATTCTTTCTTTCCTCCTTCACGAGGAAGGCGGGGCATCTCCTCATTTAAGTCACTGGTCCGCCACTTCCACACACTTGCTGGGCGAGCCTGGCTCTCGTCAAAGAAGGCTCCAGAAACGAACTGATCATTCACATTCCCCAACACTGACCACCACAGATGCCTGAAGCGGGGTTTCAGGAAGGCTTGCCGCAGGCCTGAATGAAGAGGCAGCCAGTCAGGGCCGGGGAAGCAGGCCCTTGGCAGAAGGGTACAGCTGGCAGTCCCTCGCCCATAAGAAGAAGTCTTTCCACCCATCAGCCTGGCACCTCTCTCTGGCCTATCCTAGAACTGGCAAAAAGAACAGGGAGCTTTTTCGATGTTCTACTGTTTGGATGTGGTTTGTCTTCCGAGGGCCCCTGTGTGGGAAGTTTGGTCTGCCATGTAGTCCTGTGGAGGTGACGGAGACCTCAAGAAGTGAGGCCTGGCAAAAGGTGGTTAGGTTATGAGGAGGCACGGCCCACAAAGAAATGATGGGACCTTAGACAGTTCCCTTGAGAGTGAGTTGTTATAGAGGAACAAGGCCGACTCCTTCCCCTACCTTCTAGCCTCCTCTTTTATCATAGGATGGCTCCCATTGTGTGCCCTCTCACTCTAACGCAACCCACCGTACGGTACAGCTAAACGGGCCCTGTCAACAGCTTGCTCCTGAATGCCCAGAACTGGCAACAATGCGGCTGTTCAAACCCAGGACCTTGTGCACGCTGGGCCAGTGCTCGTCCACGGAGCATCACTAGCAGCCTTGAGTACTTGACGACAGTGGTGAAAACTGGACTGACGTGGCCAGGCAGATTGACGTGACATCCTGTGAGGTCAGCACGATGGTTGATCCTGTTTCACAGGTGGGGAAATCAAGACGTCGAGAGATCCAGCACCGAGTCCAGAGTCACCCAGCGGCAGTCAGGATTTGAACCCAGGCTACAATTGTCATGCTATACCAACTCTCACACGGGTAAACATGTGCTTCCCGGGCTGACGAACATAAAAGTAGCCACGACTCTAGAACAGGGCTAATTTGAAAAGCCCAGCCAGAAGTGACATCTGAGGTCTCCCTTGAAACTGTCACCTTTGCCAGAAATGTTCTTTGAAGGGTCACTTCATGGTAACAAAATAAACTGGTGCACTAGTACCACAGAAGCCCCTTCCTTAGGGCTCAGATTCACCTCTGTTCCCTTCATCCTGTTGCTGCATGAACGACATGGATATCTGGATACGATGGCTTATCTAAATTGTCAACTTGATGGGGTCTGAAATTGCCCGGAAGATGAGCCTTTGAGCTTTCCTGGAGAAGATTGCCTTGATTGGGTAATTGAGGTGCGAAGACCTGCCTACTGTGGGTGCCACCATCCCCTAGGCTGGTGCCACCATCCCCTAGGCTGGGATCCTTGCCCACATAAATGGTGGAAGTGAGATGAGCAAAGCATTCATCTTTTTTTTTTTTTTTTTTTTGCTTCCTGACTATGGACACACTGTGACCCCCAAGTTCCTGCCACCATGACTTCCCTGAGTGTTGGATTACAGGCTTTCACTACCAGGCCTGGCTAACTGATCACCAGTTGTATCTCATGCCCTGGGATAATTTGGCTGGCTCCATCCATGGTTGACAAAGGGAAAATATGGATTCACATGGTCCATAGGTGGCCCCTGTCTCAGCCCCCTTAATTTATTATGGTGCCATTTATTTCCCTCCTATTCCTTTTTTAATTGAAAAAAATACTTTTTCATACAACATATTCTGATCTCAATTTTCCCTTCCCCCAGCCCCTCCCTACTTCCCCACCCACCCAACTCCATGTCCTCTCCCTTTCTCTACGCTCTTTCTCTCCCTCAATAGACAAGCAAAAACAAACAAGCAAACAATAACAACAAAAGAAACACACACACAAACCCTGACAAAAACAGAATCCAAAATATGCAAGCAAAAGACAACTAAGAAAAAAAAAATACCCAAACAAAGCAAAATGAGACAGAAAGTCTACAAACGATCACTGTTTATTTTGTAGTTCGGCTTCCTTCCTAATCCCAACACTCTTAACTGTGGCCTGAGTCGACTCCTCCAGCCCTTGCAATTCTCTGTGCTTCAAAGGCGTGGAGAAAAAGGAAGGCCAGAAACCTGGTAACTGACACCAAGAGGGACAGACAGTTTCAATCCCCAACCTCCAGGACCCTAGTCTTAAAGTCACATCCCCCTGGTGACCCAGGACTTCGTTTCATAAACTGGCTTCTCAGGCAGACTTGGGCCGCTCGACCTCTCACCAAGAGTCTAGTCCTAAATCCTGCCTTTGTTTGTTTGTTTGTTTGTCTTTGTTTTTTCAAGACAGAGTTCTCTGTGTAGTTTTGGTGCCTGTCCTGGATCTTGCTATGTAGACCAGGCTGGCCTCGAACTCACAGAGATCTGCCTGCCTCTGCCTCCGGAGCGCTGGGATTAAAGGAGTGCGCCACCACTGCCAGGCATCCTGAATCCTGGCTTTTAAGCACACAGAGGAGCTGCCCAACAGCTTTGCCAATATTATCCTTCCATCCACCTCACCTCCTCCTGGTCTCCAACTTGCTTCTCACCCTTGGGCCTCAAACCCAGCTCATGCCCTCAATCCGCTGAATACTGAATATTTCCCAAATCAAGGCTATATCCAAGTCCTACTTTTTCTTAATTCCAAAATGGATCCGTTCTCTCTCACCCCCCCGCCCCCCACCTCCACCTCACTCTATTTACCTGAGTCCATTGCTTTGCCTAATGGAGCTTCTCTTCTGGCAGCCCCTGAAGTAGAGCCTCCAAGGGATGTGGCCTCATGTGAAACTCCTGCTTCTCCACTGTTATTGCCTAGGGAGCTTTGAGAGAGGCTGGTGCCAGGGTTCCCTGTTGCCTGCTCTGGATGCCACATCAAGTTTGACCTGAGGGCCTGGGGCAGTGGCTCGGTTGGTTAAGTGCTTGCCAGACAAGTGTGAGGAGCTGAGCTCAATTCCCTGCCAGCCAGCTGCGGTGACCCCCACCTGTAATGCCAGCACTGGGCAGGCAGAGACAGCAGGGTGGAAGAGGCTCCCTGGCCAGCCAGTCCGTGTGAGCCAGACTTCATGTTCGGTGGCTCTGTCTCAACAAATAAGATGGACGGGGTGCAGGGATGGCTCAGTGAGTCTTTGCTGCTCTTCCAGAGGACCAGAGTTCGTTTCCCAGCATCTATGTCCATCAGCTCACAATTGTCTGTAATTCTAGTTCCAGGGGATCCAATGCCTTCTTTCCACCTCATCAGGCACTCGCTCGTGTGTGTGTGTGTGTGTGTGTGTGTGTGTGACACACACAGAGAACGAGGGAGGAAGACACCCTATATTTTCCTCTGATCCCCATAAGCATGTGCGCACATGTGCATAGGCACATGAACACACACAAGAGAGCTTGACAGGAGGCTGGTTTGTAGCAATGTTTGAGAGCCCTTTGTCCTTTTAAGGATGTCCTGCCACTTGGGCTCCCACTGAACTGAGTGGTATCATGGCAACCTGGAGGCGAAGATGCTAAATTGGATTATGAACCCGAGCTGCCAACAGGACTGCAGTGCACTCCACATGTGCAGTGTTTAGTTTTTAATCACACGTGATGAAATGGTGGAATGGTTTTTTTGTAGCTTCGATTTAATCCCCAAACGCAAATCTTGTCACCTCCATAAGTAACTGCTGTGATAGTTACTACTGGGACACTGTGTGTTCTCCCCCCCCCCCCCCCCCACCATAGCTCTTTGAAATCCACTGTGTTTCACATTCACAGTCCGTCTCAAGCTGGACAAACCACCTTTCAAGTGTTCAGTAGCCTCATGTGGCTTGCTGCTGCCAAACTGGACAGGCTGTGACAGACCACAGGTCTATCGATGGAGTCCTGGCATTCCTGGACTGCTGGCCTGGAAGGTACGTTGGTGCCATGTCCTGCGGCCGCCTTGCTGAGGAAGCAGAGGCGGCTTTGGCAGTTGGAATGAGGGAAGTTCCACACTTGCAGCTCAGGACGGCCCCTCCTTTCCAGTTAAATCAGGGTATCTCCTTATCTTCCCCTACCCCCAATCTGGGTCCCACATCCAAAACAAATTTCCTCCTACTCCAGGCCTCCCGGGGCCGGTTCTGCACCCAGCTGCAGACCTGCTGTGGCTTCCTGTCCTATTGCTCTGTGGAGAGCTGGCTGCCAGGCCCAGCAGAAGAGCAGGGCGGGACCTGGCCCAGAGATCCAAGAGGGCTGAGAGGAGTCTGGGAGTGTGTTCATTGCCTTTAGCTTTCTCTCGCTCTGTCTCTAGGCCAGCATCCTGACCACCCCCTTGTCCCCAGGCCCATGGGTTCTCCCCAGCAGCTAAAAAGCCCTGTAAGCACAATAGATCTACCGTGAGAGTCCCTGGCTGTGTGCCAGCCTCCCCAGGGCAGTCCTTGGTGGGGTCATTTTGATGCTCAAATGTGCAAAGGCAGCAAGAACGGGACTATTATTAGACCTTCCCAGCATCCCAGTTACTGGCCACATGATCCAGCACTTTGCTGTCACGGCGAGAGCCTCATCCCAGCTCTCAGAGACACTAATGTGGCATTTCTGAAAACCTTTCCCCACTGGTGCATACGATCACGGCACTCCGATTATCTTTAATTTCCATAGGCAATTAATCTTCTTTGTCTTTCTTCTTTTTTTTCTTTCTTTCTTCTTTTTTTAATTTATTGCATGTGGCCAGTTCCCAGCCTTTCTTGCTGTTTGGAATCTGTGAATCGTTTGGGCGCATGTGGAAGGCTGGCTTTTATGCCCTAAGTTTTTGCTGAAAGCTGGGACAGCAGGGATAGCTAATGAGAATCCTCCCCACTTATTTCTTTTTTGGGTACTGTAATTCTTAGGCACATGGCAAGAGGTTTCTCTGGGAAACTTGGAGAGATAGCTTGTTGGTGACCCAATTTCAGAGCATCTCAGAGTGCTGCCACCTGGCTGACTCCACATCTCAGTCAGTGGGACTGAGCAGCATCTGTTCCCAGGTTTCTGGCAGGTTTGGGGGCACATGTGACAGGCATGAGTCCTCCAGCCCTTGTCAAGCTGAAGACATGAGACCCAGTGGACAGGGGACAGGGACAATGGCGGTAGACTATGCATGCTAAGCCTAGGACTGGGCTTTACGACAAGAGGTTACAAGCTGCTCATTTGGTGGCTGAAGTATGTGTGGCTCTTGGAGACAAGGACGTTTGATTCTTTTGCCAGCTCTGTTCTTCATATTCTCTGTGGGGAGTCCCAGAGCCACTTCAAGGTTTTTTTTCCCTAAAACTGTCAGCTCTTACCAGTCCCTAAAACTGTCTGCTGTTCAGGAAAGGTAAGAATGACCATCACCCACATCTACCTGTCCATTCACCCACCATTATCTATCTGTCCATCACCCACCATCTACCTGTCTATCACCCACCATCCACCTGTCCATCACCCATTATCTACCTGTCCATCCATCCACCATCTACCTGTCCATTACCCACCATCTACCTGTCCATTCACCCACCATCTACCTGTCTATCACCCACCATCCACCTGTCCATCACCCATCATCTACCTGTCCATCCATCCACCATCTACCTGTCCATTACCCACCATCTACCTGTCCATTCACCCACCATCTACCTGTCCATCCATCCACCATCATCTACCTGTCCATCGCCCACCATCTACCTGTCCATCACCCACCATCTACCTGTCCATCATCCACCACCTACCTGTCCATCCACCCACCATCTATCTGTCCATCCACCACCTACCTGTCCATCCACCCATCCATCCACCACCTACCCAGCCCATAAATACATACAGGCATATATTGTACTGATTACTTTTCTTATTGCTATAACAAAAGCAACTTAAGCAAGGAACGAAGGGTTTCTTTTGTCTCACAGTTTGAGGGGATGCAGTCAGTCATGGTGGGAAGTCATGGCCACAGGAGTATGAGGCAGCTGCTCACATTGTGTGGCTAAAATCAGGAAGCAGAAAAAGATGAATTCTAGTGTTTGCTCACTTTCTCCCATTTAGTCAGTTAAGGACCCCACTTCGCCATTGGGGGGGTGGGGTTTCCCAGTTTAGTTAACCCAACCTAGAACCTAGACCCGCCTCTCTCACAGACAGCCCAGAGATTTGCCTCCTGGGTGATTACAGATCTTATGTTGGCAGCTGGTATAAACCATCACATAACCTGCCCATCCAGCGTACTGATACATCTAGCTAACTACCTATCCACTCATCCAGCGGTCTCTGCTCTTATCTGCCCTCTGGGAAATAAGCATGCATTTATCCACGCATTCACTACCCTTGTTCCGATGATCTACTCAGATGGACCGTGTACTCAGTGCTAAGAAATGCAGAGGCAACAGGCCTGAATCCTGATCTCAAGGCATGTTTAAGAGATCAATGACATACACACAAATATTCCTAGTAAAGTAACTAGAGCGATGTCTTTAGGGGAAAGCAAGGACTCTGAAGTCAGAGGAAGGAGGAGGCTTTTCTGAGAATGTAGTTATACTATGGGCTCACTCATAACCTAAGCACTAGACTCACGGAGGATAGCTGTTTCTGTATTCTTTATTACCCCAAGGCCCTTGAAAAATAGGGAATCACAACACCCAGGCAAGAAGACCCTTGTTCTGACCCAAGTATAACCATCTTCCTCTGGTCCCTTCAAACTGCACTCTGTTCCTTGGGGCATAGCCTGGGAGACCAAAGGCCATGCCCATATTGAGCCCTCCTGTCCTTCCAGGTCATGCTACAAAGACATAGCAACCAGCATTTTTAGCCCTAGAGGATCCAAGAACTCATTTCTAGGGTCTCTGCAGTTCCTTTCATGTGTGGGGGCTCCTGAGATCTCTGAAGCTTCTGTCTGCTCCACTTAATCCCTTGGCGCCAATCCCGGTGACATATCATGTCACTGGTATAGGTACCTCAGAGCCCACACTGAGGGCCATGCTGCTGGTAATCAGGGGATGGCCCTTGGGAATGCTGACTGGGATTTCCATAGGTGTGCAGATAAGGCCCCCTGTGTTGGCCAGGAGAAGCAGCTACAGGTCAAAGACAGGAGTCTGCTGTCCCTACACCATCAATTTGAGCACAGAGTTCAAGAATGCTACATTCAAACATGGGATTCCAGGCCATTGTGAGGGCACATTGTCAGGGTAAGTAAGAGTACAAAACATATTAACAGTTGATTTTTAAAACTAATCTTTATGCATTTAGACATACGATACATGGGTCTCTAGTATACCTTTCTCTTCCTGCAAATAATAGGGGCAAGACCTGGTTGGTGGCTGAATTACAAGTTCCTAAGTACACAGAACAACTAGATATAGTTCTTTATTCTGAGTGGAATTGGAGGACAGTGATATGAGAAATAATTGGGACTGTGGAGCAAGGTGAACAGGAATTATAGATGAGATAAAACATGTCAGTGTTCAATTCTTCAGCTTGGCAACTGGATTATGGTTACTAAGGAGAAGCTCCGAGGTTGAGAAACTCATGTTTGTGCATTTTAAAAAAAAGCAGTGGATCATGATGTTGAGAGCGTGAGCAGGTGCTGGGGGTGGTGATACCCGTAATCCCAGCACTTGGAGGGAAGGAGAAAAGAAAACCAAGGGCTCAAGACCAGCTTTGACTAGACAGTCCAAGGCCAGGCTAGGCTACAGGAGACCGCACCTCAACAAAACAAAAGAGAAGGAGGAGGGGAGCAGAGGAGAAGGGAGAAGAGGAGAGGAGAAATTAGAGAGAAGAGTCGGTATAGCCAAACGTCCAAGCTGTTGAATGCAAGCCTGGCGTACACCCGTCCTGTTTTGTTCTTGCAGCTCCTGATTTCAGCTGCAAGTTTCAAGTTCTTTCAGAATGCAAAGCTGCAAACAAGCTTCCCAGGGCCATGGGCGGGGTACCCCATAGTAAGTGTTTGCTGGGCGACACTGGAGCCAGCTTGCGGTTCTAACAATTAGCAAAAGGTAAACAAGACGACTACTCACCGGCCAGTCCACACAGAGTGCTTGTCTGTGCCTGTACTGTGGTGAGAATTTCGAATTATGAACTCAGCCTTGGTGACAGGCTGGAGAGTGTTGGCACCACGATTCTCCACATCGAACAGATGGGAATATTGCAGCACAGAGGAGCAACATGTACTGCCAGGCCTGCAGGGCTTGGCAGCAGAGGCAGGGTCTGCAAGCTTGAGGCTTGAGTTTTGCTGTTCTGTTATCATTAGCCGGATTCAAGGTCTCAGTATGATTAGTCAATCATTCTAGAGTGATAGTAGTGATCAACTTGATTAATCCTCGTGGCCCCTCACAGGCAGGAAATAATATTACAGAGAAGGGAAGAGGGACCGGAAGCCTACAGTGTGTTTCCTGGCCTCTGCGGGGGAGTTTCTAGTAAACTAGTGAGAATCAAAGGCCAGAAAGGGAGCTTGGGTGGCATTCTTAGAGGATACCAGTAGCTGGGTCTGCACAGATAGGCACTCAGATCTCTGAGTTCGAGCCCAGCCTGGGCTACAGAGTGAGTTCCTGGAAAGGTGCAAAGCTACACAGAAACCCTGTCTCGGGGAAAAAAGAAAAAAAAAAAAAAAAGAATGTGATAGTCTAAAGGGTGTTCCCAGTGACTCTCCCAGGGCCCATGATGGCTATGTCCCACTCATGGCCACACAACTTGTAAGGCACGTGTGTATGCACCTTAGGGTGACCTACAGTCGCGATGAGGAGGAGCAGAGAAGCTGAGGTGTCCTAAGGACCTGAGCAGCCAGGATGGCCTGGGTGTGGGAGAGGAGGGCAGCTTCAGGGCAGTGATCTATTGGATCAACACAACACTTATGGGCTATGGCAGCAGGATTGGCATGGAGGGATTAAGTGGGACAGACACTTCAGAGGTGACAGAAAAGATCTGTCGGTGAATATGGAGGAGCACAGAGTGGCCAGGCAGCACCTTCCAACCCAAGCAGAGAACCTGATGGCGCTGGCTTAAATAAGCCTCTGCTCCATGCCTGGCTCCACTGTTGAATTACTCTGCTTCCTTCTCATGGAGTTCCCAGAAAGCAGATGTCCAAAGGGGATTAGGAGAGCAAGAAGTTTCTTAGGAGCAACTCCAGTGAGGGGAAGCTAGCCTGGAGCAAGGAGCTGGGAAAGTCTTCAGACCACAATGGAATGCAATGTGGGGCTGATCCCAGCAAAGGAGGGACAAGATGCAGACCAGACAGGCAGGATACAGACAGGCAGGTAGGGAAGCTGAGTGGACACAGCTTCATCTGCAGGATAGCCTCATGTTCCCTGGCTGGTAAAGCTTGTCCTGCAGGCAGGTGGATTTCGGAGCCTAGAACCTGGGGCCCTGGTAAATCATGCTTGCTTAGTTCTGAGATTCGGATTTCCAAATGCCTACCTTATTCAGCACACACCCTGTCTCCTCCCCTGTTCCAGCGCCCCTGGCTGTCCACTTCCCTCCAGCTCCACCTTGATCCCCTGAAGCAGCTTTCCCTTTGTAACACACTATGTAGTTTACTCATGTTCTAATACGTTTGTTTTCTATCTTCCCAACCCCAGCCCCAGCTAAAATGCAAGCTCCTCAGAGGCAGGGATGTTTGTGGATTCTGTTCTCTGGTATATCCCCAAGGCTCAGGACAGTGCAGACAAACAAAGATGCTTGTCATCCACTGATTGGAACCAGCAGAGCCAAGGAACCAGGAAGAGACATCAGTTTTGGAAGAAGTCTTTGGAGTTTAGTGTCCTGGAACCAAGATGCTGTGCATAAGGATGGACTCACTCTCCTGATGTTAGATGCCTTCCTCTACACAGGAGGACCCAAGCTCACATCTCCACCACTCTAAGGACAACAGAGGATGTGTATTTCAAATTACCTACACAATGGTGCCTTTCCAATAGAATCCACCAATGCTGTTGCCTTAGTCTCCCTTGAAGACAAGTTTCCCATGGAACAGGCTGCAAAGGAGCCATAGTACCTGTGTGCTTGACTCTTGGCAACTCTCTTGAAGTGGCACACGGGAAAGTGCTGGAGCCCTGTCCCCACATGCAAAGCTGCTTCCCAGGGGGCTCATTCAAAGCAACATCCCATGTACTGCCCCAGGACCCAAGCGGTCCCATCCGGATATTCCTCTCTCCTGGTGTTGCTGACACACGGCCAGGTCCCCAGGGCCGGGTGTTGACTCCGATGCTCCACTGGGTCACTTTGTCAGTGTTGAACCTGGCACCATGTGCCCTGGCTGCCCAGAGGTTGGAAGAAGTGTCTGAAAGCTGCTTCCACACTTGGCTTTCTCCTTGGAAAATTCTGGGTTGCTCCCTACCACCAAGTAGGCTGGCCGCCTGCTCGGCCTCCCAGCATCTTCCTGCCTGAGGGGGCCGCTCCCTCCTGGAGCCAGTCCTTGGCTGAATGGACACCCACACTTCTTTTCAAATCTCATAAACTTGGTCTTGACATGAGAACACTTTTGTGAGTACTCTCACAAATGCGAGTACTCTCTAAGGGGCTGCTCTGTAAACTGGCTACCCCCTAATGGGGGATGAGCCAAGGTCAGGATAGCCAAACAGGGCTTCTAGAGCTCTGGACAGGATTCTGTTGTAAAAACAGAGAACTCTTTGCATGGTGTGCTGAGGCCTTCCATAAACTTCTCTCCCTGCCTTGCATCCCCGCATCCCATCATGTAGACCCCCCCACCACATTTGGGCATCCCACAGCATGGAGGCATCGTTCCCATGAGAATGCATTTCAGTCCTATAAAACCCAGTCCCAGACTCCCTGCTAAGTTCTTTGTCCCCCTGGGGCTGTTCCTTGCTCTGAAACATGGCAGCAGATGTCTGAACCTCCGGGCTGCCATGCTGCACATGCTAATTCTCAGCCATTATTTCCAACCAACACGTACTGGGGTAGTAATCGCCATCAGCACTGCCCTTCAGTAAGTCCTCACAATATGCTGACTAGGTCGGCTACCTTCATGTGTCAACTTGGCTGAGGAAGGTGGCCTGAGACGGGGCCAAACATTACGCAGGATGTTTCTGTAAGAGTGGTTTTCAGATGAGACTAACATTTTAACTCAGTATTCTGTGAGAAAAGCAGGGTGCCCTCCATAGAGTGGGTGGGCCCTGGGCAATCGGTTCAGGGCCTGAATGGAACAAGAGAATGACCTCCACACAGAGGGTGTCTTTCCAGTAGTCATCCCCTAGTCTTGAACTTCAAAATCAGACTCCTCACTGTGTCTCCAGCTGCCAGACCACCCTGCACACTAGACTTGCCAGCCTCTTTAATTGTGTGGCCATTTTTCCAGAAAGCCCAGACTAATACAGCGAGGGAGCCAGGGCAGTCAAGAGAAATGTTATGATGTGGAAAGGGAAGGAGGAACGGAGTGTCCTCAGAGTACAGATGACCCTCTCACCCAGTGTCACAGATAGAGGAGTACTTTGCCATCTTACCTAGGTAAGAAGAACTGCTCAAAGTCAGGGGTTTCTTTGATGCCTCAGGGTCACTGCATGGATGTACATGGTCATATTTAATGATAATTTATCACTTTTGTGTGTGCTATACAAGTGTGTATGCACACATGTAGGTGTGTGCATGTGTATCAGGTCAGAGGTCAGCCTTGGCTATAGTTCCTCAGGTACCATCCACCATGTTCTTTGAGGCAGAGTCTCTCACTGGTCTGGAGTTCAACAAGTAGCCTAGGCTTCCTGGCCAGTGAGGCCCAAGGATTGCCTTGCCTCTGCCTCCTCAGGGCTGGAATTACAAGCATATGGTACCACCACTCCAAGCTTTTTTTATGTAAGTTCTTGGGGACTGAACTCAGGTAGTCATGCCCACAAGGCAAGCTCTTGGGTGACCAGTCTCTTTTCCTAGTCCAAAAACCGGTCACTTTTGCAGCCAAGTCATCTTGTCCGTGTGCTTTTCTACCCACAGGAAACAACCAGCCTGCTTTGTGGTTGACATTTGACTCCACTAAGCATGTGTGAAACACTGAGCTGGCTGTCTTGGCTGCAGCAAGGGGGGTCAGCGGTGGCTTTGCAAGCTCTCACAGGCCTTTTCCGCCAGCAGCCTCAGTGGGAGGCCGAGCCTCACTCATGTACAGTATGGCACCCCTCCCTCCTTCCTGTCCACAGCCTGTCATGACCCTTCCCCAAATCACTTTGTTTCTCTCTGACCTGAATCCGGCTTCAGTGGCATCACCAGATGATTCCAGCCTTGGTTCTCAGGACTTAGACTCAACCCAAGCGCTGACTCTGATTCCCACAAAGATTCGAATTTCCGCTTGTGTGGTAATCCTGCTAGCCCATTCAACCTTTCTTAAGTCAGTCAGATTCTGAGGCTTACACCATGCAATCTCATCAACTTTCCTTGTGAGCAGAGACTTGAGCTCAGTGAGAATAGGGTGGAGAGGAGGGAGAGGCCCTTTATGTCCATCGAGTAGCACCCTTGTGTCCATTGAGTACGCCTCCATGCCTGGTGTGGTGGTATTGTGTTCCCCAAAATATTGTGCACGTTAATAAACTTATCTGGGGTCAGAGAACAGAACAGCCACAATATTAAACATAGAGGATAGGCAGTGGTAGCACACGCCTTTAATCCTAGCATTCCAGAGGCAGAGATCTACCTGGATCTCTGTGTGTTCAAGGATAAAGCCAAGCATGGTGACTCACGTCTTTAATCCCAGGGAGTGATGGCAGAAAGCAGAAAGGTATCTAAGGTGTGAAGACCAGAAACTAGAAGCTTTTGGCTGGTTAAGCTTTTAGGCTTTTGAGCAGCACAGTTCAGCTGAGATTCATTCTTGATGAGGACTCAGAGGCTTCCAGTCTGAGGAAACAGGATGAGCTGAGGAACTGGTGAGGTGAGGTGGCTGTGGCTTGTTCTGTTTCTCTGATCATTCAGCGTTCACCCCAATACCTGGCTCCAGGTTTGTTTTTATTAATAAGACCATTTAAGATTCCTGCTACAGCCTGGTAATGAACTAAGCTGTATATTTCATAGATTCCAACATGTAAATTTCTCCATTTCTCCAGTGGATGCGTGTTTGGACTGAGCTGCCAGGCACACAGCTGGTGTGGACATTATTGCTTCTGTGTGATATCAACACTTCTAGGGTGAGTGACTTGACCCAAAATGCCAGAGGTGATAGAAGGTCACTCTTCTGAGGAAACTCTCTCTCTCTCTCTCTCTCTCTCTCTCTCTCTCTCTCTCTCTCAGAAAAAGGCTCTTAAATGGCCCTCTTCAGCAGACACCAAGAACAACACCTGAGGGAAAGTATGAATGTGCCACTCTGTTAAAAGGGTGACTCAGAACAGGTTTGTGAAGAAGATGAAGACTTGGGGACAGTCTGGCCAGCTGGATTCACTTGCAGTTCTCATTTCATCCAGAATGTATGGATTGTTTAGGATAGAGAAACCCAATGTCCAAGAAGTCTAAAGACTTCTCTCTGTACAGAATAGGCTTTCTAAGTTGAGAGTTGTTAAAATGTTTTCTGTAAGGGCCAGGGAATGAGCACTGTAGGCACCTTGGGCTGTGGAGTCTGTGCTGACCACTACACTCAGCCACAGGGACACCAAGACAGCATGAGAGAGTTCACCTACAGCCTACGTTGGGAGGCACTGATGCTTCAATTTCATGTAATTTCTATGTCTCAAGAAATACTGTAATCAGGCTTTGAGGAGGGGGCACCAGCTCACAAAAAATGACATGGAGATTTATTATTAACTATGAAAGTTTGGCCTTAGCTTAGGTTTATTCCTAACTAGTTCTTATAATTTACATTAACACATATTTTTTAATCTACATTCTTTTGTTTGGCTTGGTTACCTTTACTCTGCACTCCCCATCCTGCCTCATCTCTGTCTTGCTGGGGACTCCGCCTTTCTTCTTCCCAGAGCTCTCTCTGTCCAGAAGTCCTGACTATACCGTATCCCTAGTTATGGGTCATCCAGCTCTTCATTAAACCAATCACAGTGATACATCTTCACACAGTATAAAGGAATACTCGACATTTCCCCATTTTTGTCTAAATAAAAAAGAAAGATTTTTAACTCTAACAGTAAAAACTATATGCAAAAAAGAACAATTATCAGGTAAGAATTACATTTACAATGTCCGGTCTATTTGCATTTGGCAAATTTAGAGAAAATATTCCATTATCCACTCTATCTTAGTCTAAAGTTTTATACCTAAACCAATTTTTCTCATAACTTGTATTACCATCCTAAAAGTATTTTTTTAGACCTTAAAACATCTTTTTAGATAAACAACTTAAGCTTTTATGTTTCTTAACCTTGTAAACTTTACACCTCTTATCTAAGTTTCTTTTTTTAATTTGGTAACAAGAAAAATTGTAAAACTCTAACTATCTACACTTCAATCTCCATCAGAGACTCAAGAAGGATAAAATACTGCTTGAGTAAACAGGAAGTACAGAGAAAGCAACTTCCAAAACTACAGACATGACAGCAACAAATGGCTGCCTGGACAGTCATCCAAAGTTCCTCTGCAATGCTGAGGCATTCATCTTTGGCCTACAAGCCTAGAATATCTGACAGACTTTTTTATGAAGTGGGAATTTTGAAGGACTCTCCCTCTTTCTCTTGGCAAAGTTCAGTAGATGCTTTACTTTGTGTCCTGCTTGTCCAGTTTGGACAGCATATTGTCAGCAGTCAAGGTGAGGGCAGTTTCTTGCTCACATGGTAAGCTTTACCATATTGAAAGTAAATTCCAATTGGAAGTTCTTTTTTGAAGTAAATTGGTGCTTTCAGGAGCAGACATGTCTCATTGTCAAGAAAAGCCTTATGCTATTAAAACATTTTAAATGCCATATTTTATAGGTCTTTGAAGTGTTTGAAGATCATCTATCTATCTAAAATATATCTCTATATGACCTTGAAAACATACCTAAGTTTGATAGTTATAGACAACTATCAATCTGTATTTCTTTATTATCCTAAATAGATTTTAAGGACTAAAACTTCACATTACATTTTTAAATGAGCTGTATAAGTACAATACCTTAAACAAGAATAGAAACATATTTATAGTATAACAAAATAACCTTAAATTTGTATCAATATACAAAAATCCATACCAATATAAAATATTTGAGACTAGTGGTTGTTCAAAAGTAGACTCAACAGCCCACCCTTTTATCCCATCTTTTCTATAGTATATCTCCTCTTTTTCTCTTCAGAAAGAGGTCCTTGAATCTGATCTCCTTTGTTTAGCTTTTTTCCTGACCATTACTAATAACAACTAGTAACCAACCCCCCCAAGTGATGACAAACATCCATAATCCATCAAATGATCAAAAACCATCCACCATGCCCTCTTGGGAATATGGGCATCATGTTCTCTAGACTGCTTCCTGATGTCTAGCGGTGATGGCATCTTTAGGGGACCCCGAGAAAATTAAGATAATGGTCAAGTCCAGGGAGAGCTAGCTGGTATCTAGTCTCAGTGTGATGGGAAAAATGTAGGGCTTATCTGAGGTCTGGACTAGTCTGTGAGGCTAGACCATCTCAGTCAGCAGCCTTGAAGCTGTTCTGGATGTAGAACTCTGAGGAAACTGCAACAGAGGCACTCTGAGAGGCTGGATCACCCAGGCCACCCGTTTCCATTAGTGTCTGGTCTCCTTGTTCTGAAAACACACAAGCTTTCAAAGATAACATACATATCTGCATTAACACAAGTATGAACTGTGTGTTGTACACAAGCCAGCCAAAGATAATTTTTTTTTGTTTTATGTTTGAACAGGTAAACTATACATCACTTGTCTTGTGGTTTTTCTAGGTTTATTTCTTTATGTCTATAGCCAGGATTTTCAGGGTTCCCCCCCAATCAAACCTGAACCCCTTTAACCTTGAACAAATCCATAGCCTTTCATTTTCTGTGGAAACAAAAGTAAAACCTCTTCCCCAAAGCAATACATTTTTTTTACTTCTATTTTAAAATTAAGGCATTTCTAAGGTATCTAGGCTGGTTTAATTCAGCAGTTCCTTCCACAATCCAATATCTCTCAGCAGATGTTATTCTCTGTTCATTAGCATTCAAAAAATTTAAAGTCAATAAAGCACCATACAGGATCCAGGTGCCCTGTGTATTTCCCATCTTTTCATGGCTTTTTAAAAATATTATTTTATTTTCTTTTTAAAGATTTTACTTTGTTATTTTAAACTATTTTTTCTATGACTGTCTATATCCATTTTCTTTTTTTTTCAGCATCTAAGCACATTTTTAAGCATATTGTGCCTTTTTAGAGGTTTCCTGTATCTGGACCTGGCTTTGCTAAGCATCTGCAGCATTTTCTGACCGCATGAGACAAATCTTAAACTGCCATATCAGTCACCAGCACAGCTCAGCTTAGCACATGGCACTGGTGAATGGTGCTGGTGGTTGGCTCCAGCCTGCAGGCAGCAGCTTGTAGCCATGCCTCTGTATGCTGCTGAGCACAGGCTCACCTGAGAGATTGCAGGACCAGGAAGCTACATCTGGCTCCTTGTCCAAAACTTTTTTTTTTCTTTCTCAGGCCCTATGTTTGGATGTTTGAGCCCCACATTGGGTGCCATATGTAGTTGGGCTTTTCTTTGGGCCACTAGCTCACAAAAAACAACATGGAGATTTATTATTAATTATGAAAGCTCAGCCTTAGCTTAGGCTTGTTCCTAACTAGTTCTTATAACTTAAATTAGCCTATATTTTTATTAATGTTTTTCATTTATTTTACATACCAACCATAGTTTCCCCTCCCTCCTCTCCTCCCACTCCCTTCCTGACATCTCCATTCTACCCCCACCCCCACCCCCCACCCCCACCCCCCGCATTCACTCCTCCTCTGTCTCCATTCAGAAAGGGACAGGTGTCTCAGTTGGGGCAAGACCAAACTCCTCCCCCTACATCAAGGTTGGGAGAGGCAACCCAGCATGGGGATTGGATGTCCAAAAGCCAGCTCAAGCTCCAGGGACAGGGCCTGATTCCACTGCTAGGAGCCCCACAAACAGACCAAGCTACACAACTGTCACATACATGCAAAGTGCCTAGGTCAGTCCCATGTTGGTCCAGAGTCAGTGAGTTCCCGTGAGCTCAGGTCAGCTGTTTCTGTGTAGTCCATATTTTTAATCTATGTTCTTTTATGTGGCTTGATTACCTTTACTCTGTACTCCTCATCCTGCTTCCCCTCCATCTTGCTAGTGACTTTACCTTTCTTCTTCCCAGAGTTCTCTCTGTCCAGAAGTCCAGCCTATACCTCTTGCCTAGCTATTGGCCATTCAGCTCTTCATTAAACCAATCACAGTGACACATCTCCACACAGTGTAAAGTAATATTCCACAGCAAGATACTATTGAGTTTTTGAGCCATTTGCAAGCATCAAAGCCATGCATAACTCATGGGCCATATAAAAGTACATGGCATGGAAATCATTTGCCAACTTCATCTTCTAGGTGAGAGGTGAGCCTTATAACATGGCCTCAGAGGTGGTGTTCCTTCCTCTTTATTTCAAAATGTAGGCTTGCAGCAATCCTGCTAAGTGGATAACATTCCCATATGGGGGCACCAAGTTGGGAAGGTTTGGCTACTTAGGATTAGTGAGTACGTCAAGTTGAGGTTCAACCCTAAATCTGCTTGACTCATTGCAAAAGGCAAAGATGCTTCTTCCAAACTGACATTACTGTAGTGAATTCTAAGCTGGTCTGGAAGTCTGGACTATAGAGTGAGACTCTGTCTTTAAAAAAATAAAATAATACAGGATTGTATCAGGCTTATTGTACAAGCCACCATATAAATATTAAGAAACACACATTTAAACAGAAAGGAAATATAGGTAGGAAGAGTGGAGTCAGGTGTCATTTCTAACATGAGTCTTCTTGGTCTGTCCATGTGTTCACCATTTTTTGAAACAGAAGCAGGGAATTGCTGCCCTGCTTGGGTTCCCCAGAGGAACTGAGGTGTGGAATGAGCCCTGCAGTCCACGAGGAGGGCCTGGCACAGCCCTGTGGTCCCAGAGCCACAGAAGGAATTAACAAGTGTTCTGCTTCATTTTTCCAGGCGCCGCACTGTGGGCTGACCTCCTGGAAGATCCCTCAGATGACTTGTGCAAACAGCCTTCCAAAATCAATAGACTGCAAAAATCTATCTGGCTTGTGAAATCTTCCTTGGTCCCCTTCACATCCATCAATCCTTCCCCAACCCCCACCCCAGCATTTAAGACTCCCTCTGGGCTGGGCTGTTTGGTAGGAGCATTGCAGGCCTGGAGGCTGGCAGGTCAGTAGATAGCTGCAGTGAATTGATATGAGAGGTGAGTTGTAAAATATAAAAATAAAAACAGAGCCGAGGCAGCTATTTGGGAATCCTTCTAGGCCTGTCGTGTTTATAGCAGTGTGAGCCCTCCACGAAGAGCTAGCTGCTCCCCTGCTTTGTTGTGGCCGTGGAGGGTTGCACTGGTTACTGTGTGGCTCTTGCTCCACAATGTCAACGTCATTTATAGAGCAAATGCTATGTGCTGGGCATGGTTCTCCAAACCTCAGACTCAGTTAGCCCCAGCCCTGAAAGCATTGGCCCTGCTTTACAAAGGACAGTACTGAGGCTTGGAGGGGTAATGGACTTGCCCAAGTCAGTCATTGCCCCAGGGCTTCGCTAGGATCCAGTTCTTTACTATCTTCCTTTGCAGTATGGGCCCAGTTCCTATGCCAGGACCACTCCACTAAAACCAGGTTAGAATCTTGGCATTTATCACATCCCTGACATCAGGCCTTATGCCCAGGCTCTCCTTGATGCCCTTACCCATCAGGGAAGCTGCAGTGTTTCTGTCTCCATGGCTTCTGGCAGCAGGTGATAATGAGGTGTTCCCATCTAATGAGGAGAATGAGCCTTGAGTGTCCCACACCTGCCCCTATGGTCAGGGTGTAATAAGTACTGAATCTGGGATGTGGCTTGAATGAGAAATAATCCCCAGGACCTTGGATATTTGAACACTGGCCCCTCCCTCCACTGGTGGTGCTGTTTGGGGTGGGTTAGGAAGTACAGCATTGCAGGAAACCTGTCACTAGGGGTGGGCTTTGAGCTTATATAGCCTCATCCCATTTCCAGTTCCCTCTCTATGCTTTGTGCTGCTTTTGAAGAGGTGAGCTCTTAGCTGCCTGTTCCTGCTGCCATGCCTGTGGTTTGTGGCTCTGCTTCCCATCTATGATGGACTCTTACCTCTTATGACTTTGGAGTCGTAAGCCAAATTTAAACTCTTTCTTCCTTAAATTTTCTTGGCCATGGTGTTTTATTATAGCAACAGAAAAGTAACTTACTACAATGATGAGTCCTCTTTTCTGCCAGCCTCAAGGTAAGTCAGGTTCCCAGGCAATAATAGCACCCGGAGCATTCTTACCTCGAATCTAGGGAAGCAGCTCCTCCTCCGCGTTGGGTCTGTGTATACAGCCAGCTCTGGCAGGGAATTGAAAACACTCATGCTAAGAACGAAAAGCATGCTGCAGTGTTTATGGAAAATGAGATGCGCTTGGGATTCAAAACTGCCGTGCGGAGAGAACCAATGGAACTCGTGAGATGGGAGCGAGAAGAGACGCCAAACCCAGAGTCTGGAGAGCTGGGTGCCCAGGCAGCCCTCGCCTCCCCATCACGAAGGTGCATGAAGTGGTCTGGCTTTCACAGGACACCTCCGTTTGGTTTTGTCTGTGACCCGAAGGCTAGTGAAGAAGCAATAGTCAAGCTGGACTCAGGTTTTATGTTTGGATCCAGAATGTCCTTAGCAGAATTTCAGGTCTTAATAACACATTTGGAGGAGTGCTAGGGATGGGACCCAAGGCCTCATTCATGTCAAGCCCAGATGCTTTTAAATATCACGTTTCATAATAACTACCATTTTTAAAATTAACTGTTGAAGTCGGGAGCTATGGAGTAAAAGGTTTCAGAAGCCAATAGATACCGCTGTTAGCAGTCCTGAGGACACACGGAGAGACTGAGTGTGAGTGGCATCTAGGATGTATGCAGGCTAGCCCTGGAGTGGGCCTCATGTTCCTGGGACAGGAGTACATAACATGTGATAGTTTGTCTTGGTTATCAGGTTGACAAGATCTCAAGTCAACTAGGATACTAGTCTCTGGCATGCCTGTGAGAGGTTGTCTAGAGTGGGTTAACTGAGGTGAGGAGACTCGTCCTAAATGAGGGCATCATGACCCCATGGGCTAGGGTCCTGAGCTGAATTAAAAGCACAGGGAGCAGCTGCCTTTGTCTCCCTGCTTCCTTGATCACAGGCAGGATGTGAGCTGCCTCTCGCTCCTCCTACCATAACGAACTGTGCTCCAGAACTGGGAGCTGAAATACCCCTCCCCCACCACCACACACACACACTAGTTCCTAAAGTATCTGTGTCAGGGGTTTCATCACGGCAACAACAAAATGTAACCACTACACATGCCCACCGGAGAGCATCCCCTCCTGCCTCCAAAGGACCAGTACCACCCGGAAGAAGACAGAGTGCCAGACAGGGGGCCTGCAGGGCAGGTAGCATGTGAAACACAGGAGGCCAACGTGGAGGAGGAGGCTCGTATGCAGGAGCTGAAGGATGGGATGACAGGACTGAGGCAGACCTCAGGGAGAATGAGTCACTGGTTACTCAGATGGAGCGGGGCTCAGACTACAAGACTCACTAGCAGAGCAGGCAGAGGTCTGGGTTGGGCAGGGCACTGGGACTTAGTGTCAGGCAACAGAAGTTTGGCTTTTGATCCGGTGCCCTCAGGAACAGAGTTCCTTCTTGACTCCTGCTTCACAGTCATCAACTGCCCATCATGTTATTCAGGCCCCCCGTGGAGTCACCTTGATGTCATCTTTAGTTCCCCTCCTCCAGCTCACCCCCTGCAGGCTGGCAGGTTCTGTCTGCTCCATTCTCAGACATCCCCAACCAACCCCCTTCCCCTGTCCAGCGTTCATCCTGGCCGAAGACTCCGCAGTCTCTTCTCTGTAGCGGCCTCCTCAGCTGCTCCAGCTTCCACATACCCCGGAAGTCAACACGACTTTTGAACTCTAACCTAGACCAAGCAATTTCCTAAAATGCTCTAGTAGCTTCCCTCTGTCCTAGGGTTGAAACCCAATTCCTAACATGGCTTTGCACTCCTTAGGCTAGTACTTTTGTTTCTATCCCCCACGGCCCCTCTAGACACAGCGACTGCTCAGCCCAGGCTTACCTCTGCTGGGAAAACGCCTCCCTGACTCTTGGTTTAGCTCACTCATCTCGGATCTCCATCCTGTCCTACCAGGGCTTTCCCTACTCAGGAAAGCAGTCCCTCCCCCAACCCTGCTCCAGCTCCTACCGGCATGGATTATTACATTTACTTCACGCGATTGTTGTAGTATTATTGATTCATTTATTTGGAGTCATCCACTAGGGCTCAGCTCTTAAAAGTAAAGACTTGATCTGATTCCTGGTAGAAACTGAGGTCCTAAGAAAGAGCTGGGCCCTGGGACCTGAGAATCCATGAGCCAACAGGTGAAGTCCCTGGACCCCTTCTTAGAATAATGCTTTTAAATAAATGTTTTAAAAAATACCAATGTTTTAAAATAAATCACCAAGGATTGGAAAGGAAACCAAGCATAGGTAAACATATCAAAGATGGCTATTAAAATATAAAAATAAGTGACATATATGCATTATATTAACATAAAGTAAGATTTGAATAACTGTGTTAATATTAGTGTGGGGAGGGAAGCTCATGGCATTTTATACCCACTACAATTATGGGGTGATATGAATGTCCTGTGACTTCTATTAGTGAGAAGTCACGAGGCCTGCTGATACTACTGTGGTTTGGTGTCCGTGATGGTTAGCTTTGTCAACTTGACGTAGAATCAGCTGGGAAGGGGGTCTCAGTGAAGGACTGTCTAGGTTAGGTTGCCCTCTACATGTCTGTGAGGGACTGTCTTTTATTATCTGAACGGATGTGGCAAGACCCAGACTAAGAATGGGCAACGCTAGTCTTTGAGTTTGAGTCCTGGTTTATAAGAAAGGAGAACACTAGTGTGGGTACATTTATTCCCTCTCGGCCCTTGGCTGTGGATGTGACTAGCTGCTGCAGACCTGCCTCTTGACTTCCATCCCGACAGTGATGGCCTAGAACCTGGAATTGTGAGCCAAATACCTGCCCCCTCAAATTGCTTTTGTCAGGGTGTTTTATTACAGTAACACAAATAAAACTGAGACAGAGTCTGTGTTCATGGTAGCAGTGGAGATTCATTGTAGGTTAGTAAAATTAAACGTATAATTTGTTTCCATCCAATTTCACAGATTCCTTAAGTTCACTGAGCCTGGCTTGAGAAACGGTTGTAAATGTTCCATTGTTATAATTTGGATAAATGAATGAGAGAACGAAGCTTTGGAGTAGACCAGTTGTGAAATCTATGCTTAGTTGAGACTTAGGTGAGTTTAGAGCCAGACTCTATGCTGGGTGGAGAAGATGGGACATTCCTGTCCTTGAGGAGTTCTCAGTCTGGTTTGACCCATACAGTCACAGAGATAAGGTAATCTCATTGCAATATAATGAGTTTGGTGGCCTGTGGCCAAGGGCTTAGCCCACTCAAGGATGTAGAGCAAGTCCCTGCGGGGGAATTCCTGGGAGCTGAATGCTAGAGAAGACATATCTGTCCTGATGGAGCAGGGCTCGACACATGTTCTAGACCTGGGGAACAGCATGGGCCGGACTCGGAGTTTCAGGGAGTTTTAAAATCTAGGAAGGGACCAGAGTACAGTAAGGTGAGTAGGAGGGGGTTCCTTCATTTCTCCCACAGGTGTTTACTGAGCGTCTGCTAAGGAGCAGGTCCTGTTCTAGAGATGAGTGATTCTGTACCATATGAGACAGACAGATCTCTGCCCCCAGTAAGCCTGCATCTCAGTCAAGGATCTGGGACAACATACAAATACGTACACATTATTGTGTATCATGGGAAGGTCTGAGAAAAATAACGTATTGGCTGGGGAGGTGCTTTAGTGGGTAAGCCCTTGCCTTACAAGTGTGAGGATCCATCCCTAGAATCTTCACAGAAGCCAGGCATGGTGCATCCCTGTAAGCCCAGTGATGATGTAATAGAGGTGGGACAGGTAGAGTCTTTTTTTTTAATTATTTATTTTTATCTTATGTGCATTCGTGTGTTGCCTGCCTGTATGTCTGTGTGAGGGTGTCAGGTCCCCTGGAACTGGAGTTACAGACAGTTGTGAGCTGCCATGTAGGTGCTGGGAATTGAATCTGGGTCCTCTGGAAGAGCAGCCAGTGCTCTTAACCAGTGCTCCTAACCGCTGAGCTATCTCTCCAGTCCCCAGGCAGATTCTTAAAGCTCACTGGCCAGTTTAGTCCAGTCTACTTGGCAAAGTTCTAGGCCAACGAGAGACCTTGTCTTAAACAAAAGATGAGAAACTTCCTGAGAAATGACATCTGAAATTGTTTTCAACCTCCACACATGTGTGCAAATGCACACACACACACACACACACACACACACACACAAAGAAGAAGAAGAAGGAAGAAGAAGAAGAAGAAGAAGAAGAAGAAGAAGAAGAAGAAGAAGAAGAAGAAGAAGAAGAAGAAGAAGAAGAAATAAAAATGCTAGGTAAAGCCGGGTGGCCAGGAGGGCTGTAGTGTGGGGAACCCCTGTAGAATATACTAGTAGGACTGGGAAGGACAGGGGCTACTGCTGATGCTGTTGAAGACTGTTAGGACTGAATCATATCCCCCCTCCCCCAAATCTGTATACTTGAGCCCTAATCCCCAATAGGCCTGTGTTTGTAAATTGGGATTTTGGAAGGGTCATTAAAGTTAGATGAGGCCTTAGGGTTCTGCCTTCATCCACTAGGACTGGTATCTTGACAAGAAGAAGGGGAGACGTGATGCGTGGCAGGGCATCCGTGCCAGGCCACGGGAGGGCACAGCCTGAGAATGGCCGATGGCAAGTCAAGGAGAGACAGAGCCTGCTGGACATCTCCATCTCCACCTCCAGCCTCAGAACAGAGACAGTGAGTATCTGCTGTTTAAGCCACACGCTGTGGTGTTTTGTTGTGGCAGCTCCAGTAGACTGGTCCAGATGTGCACTGTTAGAGGGCCCAGATGGGCAGCTGGTAGAAATGAAGCAAGGTGGGAGAGAGAGCTCATGGCAGTCACCGGGGGTCATGGGAAGTGGTGACAGATGGTAGCTCGGAGGTGATATCCATATCAAGCAGGACTCCACGGAGACCAGGAGTGTACTGGTGTATTGGCAGCCTGGGGTCCCAGGTAGACGCAGCTAGGGTAAGTTCCTGTGAATGTGGGTTGGGGGACGTGGACACCTTGCAAGTAGGAACATGGTCACCAGACTCAGACTCCAGGACACTGGGGTTTCTCCCACCCCTTCATTTCCATGCCAACTAGGAAGTGGGGGTGGGTGGGGGCGGTCATTGTCCTACAATTTCCTTTCTCTGGGGGCTGGGCTCTTTGGGTCCCATTGTTCCCTTGCACAAAGGGGCAGTGATAAGCTGGTTGTTTGTGGCTTCTGGTGCCAGCAGGAGAAGCTGCCTCCCAGTTTTTCACTCCACCCCGAGGTAGCAGATGCTGCCAGGCCTCTGGACACAACAGGGCCTACAGAGGAAGGCTTGAGATTGTACCTGAGCCACAAAGGGGTATTGATGGGTTGTGGGCAGGCTCGGGAGGCTGAGGACAATGCCAGGATAGCCCTGGGCTGGCACAGGCTGTCTGGACTGTGAACAGTATGTCTGCGGCCTCTGTGTTCAGTCCCAGATTCCTTTGCTCCCTCCTACTCTTCCTCCCTACCCTGCTTCCTTGGTTACCCGCCCCCCCAGCCTGTATAGCAGCTACCTACCAGTCAAAGTCTCTAGCCCTCCCGCTGCCTGCCTCCTCTTTGGGTAGGTTGCCACCCAGGTCCACTATGCCTTTGCTCAGATGCATCCTCACCCGCCTTCCCTACACACTTGTCTGGAGTCCCAGGGCCCATAGGAGCCTGTGGGAAGCACTGATTCTCGGCTGCAGGAGCTATTGACTGAACATGGCCATCTGGTCGACCTGATCTCACTTGGATCCAGGCAGCCAGCCACTGGAACTAGTGACCTATTGTCTCATCTTCTGTCACTTGGACATCTTCTGGGATTTAATTTACCTGGATCCTGAAAATGAGGCTGTGGAAACAGGCTTTTGATGCTGTCTTCTTCACATTCTCACTAGGTCGAGTACCCTGGCTTTCCTCGGCACCCAGACATTCTGCCTCCTTGAGCCCAGGTGGCTTAGAATGGGCAGTTTTCTGTTCTGTTCCCAGGCCTCCTGTTCTGTGTCAGCACCTCTCTTCTTTCTTGGGTTGACCAGCAGTCTGGCACTTGGGTTTCCATCAATGCCATGGAATCTAGCATTTTAAAGGACGGTCCAAGGGGACAGTGCCAATCTCCAAAGAGCAGCATTTTGGCTCTCTGGGCTGGTGGCCTGGGACACCTGACCCCCTCTTGGCTCAGGTGTGTCAATGCTGCTTCACATCATAAATGCTCTGAGCTGCCCACTGTGGGGCTCTGTCTCATTTCATCATCGTGGAGTGACCTGCTGTTGAATATTTGCCAAAAGGAGGTTGAGCACACACTCCCCGAGGGTGAGCGCTTGCCCATGTTGTTCCATTTATGTGGGGCTTACAAGAGAGCTTGGCACAGAATCAGGCCCAGCATAGTCCTCCCGAACATGTGAATGCCTCAGAGTCCCCTAGCCTGGCTCTTCAGTTCCCCTAGAAGGCTGAGAACTGGACCTAAAAGCTTTTTGGGGTTCTGTACAGTGTTGGACTCTGCTTTGTGTGGGTTTTCTTGGTAATAGTTAATATGACTTCTCCTGTGTTCTCTCTGATGAATCTACTGTCATAGGTAATTACAGATGACACTGGGTTGCTTTCCACAGCTCTGTCCCATTTGTTCCTTAGAGTCAGCTGCAAGGGACTTGGGACTCACTCCTATTTCCCCTCCTGCTTCCAATAGAGGAGAGGCCAAGACGTAGGGATGCTTCAAATTTTGCTCAAGGACATACAAGCTGAGGATGAGTCTCCATCCCAGCTGGGGACACTCTCTCCTGCTTGCCTGCCTGCCTCCTTGCCTCCTTCCCCTGTTCTCTCCTTTAGGCCTATGGTGAAGTAGAGTGCAGTCCTGGTTTACTAGCGAGCCTTGAGAGTCTTCCAAGCTAAAGTAGGGACATCTTTCTGCCTGAGGGGGCAGACATTCTTGTCTAAATCTGGGGCCTCTGAGGACCCCCACCCTAGCTTTTTAGAATTTGAGATTAAAATCAATAAAATTAACCATGTAGGGGCTAAGGATGCAGTTCAGTCAGTAGAGTGCTTGCCTGGCATTCGCAAAGCCCTGGGTTCTAGCGCCAGCATCACATAAACCAGGCATGGTGTATGTGTACCTGTAATCCTAGTTCTGAGGGGGTAGAGGGGGAAGACCAGCAGCTCAAGGTCATTCTTGGCTATCAAGTGAGTTCAAAGTCAGGTTGGGTTATGTGAGTCCCTGCCCAAAGAACAAAATACTGAAAATGTTCCATGTATAATTGTATTTCAGTGTCATGGGCCCACTCCCTGTGTCATGCCGTGTCACAACCATAG